TACCCAAAGTGATAAGACCCAGGTTATATCTGATTACTCTGATACTATGAAGTATTTTAAGATGCTTATTGCATGTTGTTTATTTAAAAATAAAATATTTTTCTTACATACATGGAAAAACATTATCTTCACGTTCAACACCTCATGTTCTTGTTTCGCATTTTCTCATGTTAAAGATTTTTTTTGCTTTTCTGTGAGGTGAAATCCAGTCCCAGGAAGTGTATTTGTGCATTTCAAACAGCCCCGAAATGGGCTGGCTGCACGGCTGCCTGCTGGCAACATGCTGTATTTACCTTCCCCCACTTTGTCTCAAGCTGCAATGTGAGGATAATATTAAAAGGCTGCTGCCCAGAGCTTTGGTTTGATTTTAATGCCACACGAGTCCACGGTTTGTTTTAATTTTTTTTCTGACGCTCGGCGAATTTTTCAGCCGAATCTCAATTGGGCCGCTATCCAGCCCACTTATGGCAGACATGTGGGCTGTGGAGACGCCACCTATGTTGTATGTACTGTACCATCACAAAGGAACACAGTTGAAGGGTACAACCTCGTGATGTATGATCAGCGGCCTGAGTAGGCTGACACGTTTGCATGAAATATGATTGTGTCCAATGTGTGTGTGTGTTTTATTGAGCTTTCTGGATGATTTGTTCGTGGCTCACAGGCTCAGCGGGGTTGCAGTGAATATATTTACAGTCACAGGGAGGAACATGATAAACACATCACCGGCAATCTGTGTAATAAATACAGGAGCCAAGCGAGAATCGAAAAAGATTTTTTTAAAATCTGATTTACTACAGCAACAAATACACATTCATGTTAAAACTCCAATGCGATACAAGTATAGTAGTGCAATGTTCATGTTTTTTGCTTGAATGAATATGGTTGATACGATGACGTATTAGGGCCAGTTTCAGGGTTAAAAATATATAATATATTCATTTAACGTTACAACTTTTTTCCTCATAAATGTAACATTTTTTTAATGTAACCTTCTGACTATTTTTTTAAATAAACATATGACTTTTTTCTTGTGACATCCCAACTTTTTTTCCCCTAACCTCACCACTTTTTTCATGTAATGTTACAAACTTTTATGTAACGACTTATATTACGACTTCATTGTAACTGTAATTATACTATTTATAACTATAACTTTTTGTTCCTCTGACTTACATTTTCATGTAACATTATGACTCGTATGACTTTTGCTTGAAAATGTGACTTTTTTCATGTAAGATTACGACTTTTTTTATAAACTTACGACGCTTTCTTAAAAACGTACCACTTTTTTCAACATTACAAGTATTCTTTTTCATAAACTTCAGTCACCTCACACGGGGACATTAGCCTAAACATTACCACTTATTTAAAGTAGCTCTTTTGACACCATCAGTTATTCATTGAAAGTGGTCGAAGGCACTTCGATTGGTTTTCGGGCTCATTGTCTTGACCTGTACTCCAAGACCAGTCTGGACAGCTGATTTTGCTGCTGTAGTTGTTACCGTGGTAACAGTTGTTTTGCTGTAGCTGTAGCTGTAACCGTATTTTGAATGTGAAGCTATTCCTAATTCCTTGGATGTGTAAATATGGTCAAATTCGCAGTATGATTTAGCTGGATTCCGGTGTTGAATTCACGTAACTATGCATTTTGGGCTAAACGGCGCATTCACCTGATAGGATGTGTAGAATTATTAACAAAATAATTTGAATGTTGTCTGTTTTTCTGTTGTGAGTTGTTCGCAAATGTTGACTCTGTTTTGCAGGCTTTTTAAGGGTGGTGAGGTTAATATCCTTTATTAAACCTGGTCGAAAGTTCACCTTAATATGCCACAATAGAAGAAAATCACGAAAAAGACGAATCACGTTAAAATATACTATCACATTTAACTCACCATTAAAAACCCTATGATTTTTGTTAAACAGCAACACACTCAACAAGTAAGAGATATTTAGCATCGTACACCCATAAAGCCAGTGAATAGAAAACAATAGCAAATAAAAATGTTTATGTGCCGATTATATCAGCTTTTTATTTGCCCCCAGAATTGTATACTTTTATTTTTTGCTGTTCTGAACATAAAATATTTATTTTTGCACCAGTTAGTAATGTGCCTCTGTGCCAAGTTGAACCACATAAACTTCAAACATATCCCTGACAATCCTTTCCTTTACTAAGCGAGAGATGGGGGTCGGGGGGGAAGGGTGCCATTTGCATACAAATTGATAGGACTGAAATCTCACTGTAATTTCATATTCATTGACTGTTGCAGCTTTAAGCAGGTATAGAGGTCTGACTCGCATACTTTCCAGCTCCCCTGCCGAGAAAATGCCTTCATTAGTATTGAGGACGGGGGGTGAGGGGGGAGAATGCGGAAAAATGCCCACTCATAAATGCTAGTTATTGAGAATTTATGTGGAATTCGCACAACACCGCGTTTGTGCGGAGCCGTGTTTAACGTCAGCGTGTGTCATGTCGGGTCGACGTTCTTGTCATCTCGTGGATGTGTTTGCGTAAGAAGCATGGATGAATGAATAGATGAATTAGGCGTCGCCCAACTGTGCGGCTGAGAAGATGAATTTCCCCTTTTTTTTTTTTGGGGCCGTTACTTGAGAAAAAAAAAGAAAAAAAAGTTGGGTGTTTTAAACGACTCTGAAAACTGTAACGCCGTCATTCACCCGGCAGCCACCTGCACTGAGGACAGAAGCGTGTCTGTTTACAGTCTCCAGGCAGCACAGTGCTGCAGAAGTGCAACGCAGCACATGAGCTATATTTATAGGTAGGAGTAGCGGTGAATAGCAGCCATAGCTTTCTGACAGTTACTTAGCAAACCCCCGTGGGCCCAGACTATCTATGCCAGAGAAGTCATTATAAAAGTGGATTAAATACAACAGCGGAATCTCATTTCCAAACCTCCCAGGATCACAGACCGGGATGTTCAGAGTAAAATAGTAGGTCACGGCTGATTTTGAATGTAAACATAGATTTGCACTTCATCTTAAAAACAAAAAAAAACACCCTTTGTGGTTGTATTTATTTATTTTAAACTCAAAAGCCCGTGTCTATCAATATTTAGAACGCAGCTCCCGGTAGACATAGTGGACTTATTCAGCTGGGACTGGAAGCCGAAGCCCAGTCCAACTTGTTTGATGACTAACGGAATTTTAGATTGTGATCTGCTTTAATCTCTCCTCTAATCCCGCAGCACACAGAGAATTGGCTTCTCTAATTCATGAGCACTGTCACCACCATGCCTGATTCCTGCTATGTCCAAATTAAAATAATACACTAATTCCAAATTCTATTTTTTAATATATATTTTCTGATTGGTTTGCAGAATGTCAGACAATGTTAGGAATATCGCAACACAGAAATAAAGTGGATTTTAGTCGGTAGTTGGTGTGATATATGACAAAGAAAGAAGTCATTTCCCAATCCTGTAAACTAGTTGTATTTTTAAAAGCCCCAGTCCCCTTTGTTGACAAGCCAGAGTGTAGGTTAAGGTCAGTGTTTCTCAACCTCGGGGTCAGGATCCCAATGGCGGTTGCCTGAAATTCATTTGGGTCCGCTAAATATTAAAAATGTTTTTTGTTACCAAATAATTATAATTTTTAATCAGTAAATATTTACTATTTTCAAATGAATAAATATGAATTATTTTTAATTATTAGTTAATTATTATTATTATTTCTAATTATGATCAAAAGATCATCAGGTACGTGAGCTTGATTGATAGCTATGATCATGTGACTGCGCACATTTAAAACCTACAGTTTTGACTGATAAGCAAAGTTAACACAATGACTTTATTAAGTAGCAAAAATAAACACATGTAAACGCCCAAAGCAGCCTCTAAAATGATGTAATTTTGTTAGTTCCGTCTCTGTCTTGACTGTTTATTTTTGTGTCTCACCTCAGGTATCGACTTCTGACCCTGTTCCCGCCTTCCTTTATCTCCAGCCACGGTGATTGTCCCCCACTCTCCACCTGTCTGAATGTCTGAATAAAAACATCGGGGCCGTCCTCCTGTTCGTCAAACATCGCAGTGAGTTGAGAACAAGTTCTATCTTTGTTTTTCACTTAGCGTTTGGTCACACAAGTGATGGGTGATACCATAAAATCACGCCAAATACAGGCCATTTAACAACTAAGTATAACATATATCTGGACTATAAGTCGCACTTATACTCAGGTGTGACTTATATATTGAAATATATCATTTCACGTTTGTTAGTTTCACACTGGCAGCCGCTAGAGGGCACTCTAGGCCTGTGTACCAGTATCTGCTACTCCTGTACTACCAAAAATTTACATGTTCGTTATTTTTTACACTGACAGCCCCTAGAGGGCACTCTAGCTGACTGGTGCAACTTATATTCCACAGTGACTTATAGTCCGGGAAATACAGTAGTTATACAAATGGCGGTACTTTACTTTTACTACGCTATTACTACACTATATAACCTCAATAGTGTAATTGCTACCATTAAGGGACAAAGATGTCTAGTGGATTTGATCACATGGAGTCACTGCTGTTTTCTGGTCAGTGGTCACATGACATGAATGGATCAGTTCAATTTTTACGTTACTGGGGATGGGGTGATTGCGGTACAAAAACCTGCATGTAGTAAATAACCCATAGTACCGATACTTTATGAGAATAAAAGACACCCAATCAATACTCATATTCCTACTATTTATCACATAATTTTCAAGCTGAAGTGTTGTCGCAGTCTCTGCCAGTCAACTGCAGCTATTTTAAGCATTTCTAGTTCTACACTGATTATGGATTTTTATCTCTCTTTTTTTCATCTGTGAATGACATCAAAAGCAATTAAGGAACCTGAATGAGTTGACACGGCTTTTGTTTCCCAGTTCGTTTAACTGAAGTGGTGAGATTTTTCAGATCAAGGATGCGCTTTGTCTTGTTTTATATTTAAAAAAAAAGAGCAAAAATGTTTTTGAACAATGACTATCATTTCTTGCATGTTTTTGAAAGAGTGCGAAGTGTGGCAATGTCTTAATCTATTCACTAGTGAAACTAGAGTAAATGGTAATTTAGTTAAAGGTAATTGTCCACAGATTTCTTTATATTTGAATTTGGAATATTTCATAAAAATAAAGTAGAGTATACATTTTAGAAGCCACATATTAGGGGTATTTTTTAGAGAACATATTCCTCCCAATACTGTAGTATAGGCTTTTTTTATGTATATATGTGTACCTTATTTTTGATTCCCTGCCAGACAGGAGGCTTTTAATTTGAAAAACACTATATATTTTTCTTTTCTAAATCAAGTGTGCACATATACACAAAGAACTCCCAACTCCCAACTGTAGCATCAAAAAGCCCTGTTCCTCTACTCTATAATGTCACGCTTTAATACGGTAACATAATCTACATCCGACTCGATGTACGTCCTCTGTGTGTTCGATGGTTTGGGCTAACTCAGCATGTTGAAACACTTAAGGCTCAGTGCCACGTTCTGCCGCAAAAACTGGCTGAAATGCTTAAGCTGCTTAGAGAGACATATGGTGAGTAGCAAGTTCTCTAATACGTTTACGGCTGCAGGCATTCTTACACTCCCATCGGTTGTTGAGGCACACAGTGTACAGCAGAGTGGAAAGTGGGCAGATGGGGTCATGGTTTAGAACAGCGGTCCGCAACCTTTTTTGAACCAAAGATTGGTTGGCTTGTAGCGGCCGTTGCTATGCACAAGTAGCACCATGCAGATTGTCGGAGGGTCTTTACATTTTCAGAAATAAAACATCTTTTAGACTTTATGCTGTTAGTATCTGAGTAAATCTGAGTAAAAATGAAGTACATTTATCTTTGTGTCCCATTGTGGCCCGGAAACAAATGACCTATGGACCAGTACTGGTCCGCGGGCCTGGGGTTGGGGACCCTGGTTTAGAAGACAAACAGTTGCTAGTAGGTTGTTCATTTTGGTTATTCAGTTGAGTGCTTCAGAGATCGAGAGTTACGTCATCAGAAATAGGGCCCGAGTCATCATGACTTGGACTTGTGACTTGACTTGTCAAAAAATATGACTTGAGAATTGACTTGGGCTTTAAGTCAGGGCTTTGAACTTGACCCGGTTTGCAAAATGATTTATTGACTTGGAAAGTAAAATAAATATCGATATTTTATAGTAACCTGTGATGTCTATACTGTACCTAGCTAACGTTTTAATATTGATAATAAATACCATCATGCTAGCCAGGAGAGGTCTTTGTTATCGTCCTTAGGTTTCAAAACTGGCCACATATTCCAACAATATTATGACAGTTACCAATATCTCATCTTTTTACAGACCCGATTTTGTGGGCATTATGGGATTAATCGGGTGATCTGTTACTTGACTTGACCAAAGAAGAAATCTTGGGATTTACTTTAGATACATTAGTGACTTGATCCAATCTCTGGACCAGAATGTCTAGGAAGTATGTGTCTACGTTCTTGTGTCTGTATTCTGTCCTGCGCTTTAGATAGAATTGTTTTGTTGTGTGGCATTAATGTAAGGTAGCAGTAGGAAAGTGGTAAGGGTTGGCAGAATTAGCTTAGCTTTGAAGTCGGTAGTTTATGTTTAAATTTTAACGATTTTACAGTGTTTTCGAAAGGTTTACAGCAATACTAGTGAGTACAGTACTAGCGACATACAGTCAGATGTGTCTCCTGAACATGAGCTAAAAGAGAAAGAAAAAAGTAAAGATTGACAACGCGCACACTTTCGTAATGTGTCTGGAGCCGATTGCAACTTGGTCTCCGAACTAGAAAGAGACAAAAAGAAGTAAAGAGCCTGAAATACCAACAACAAATGGCCGCAGTCACAGATAACTGGTACTCTCCGGCTAACATACCCGTTACATCTACATACTGTCCTGTGCCTCCTCTGCTCAAACCAGCAAAAGTCACCCAGGGGGTCAAAAACAATCTAAATTTCAATTAAAGTCGAAAATGCCGCTGATGGAAACTGAATAAATGTTGATGTCTTTTCATCCAAGAGGTCCAGGTTTGAGCTGCTGCTTGGGGGCGAAATAGCATCTGGGGCAATTATTTCATTATCTCAAATCCGCTTGCAGCAGGCCAAGGTCAGTGGCCTACGCAAGATTAGCCGGAACCACAATTATTGTCACAATTAGAAAGCAGACAGCTCCAGCAGGAGTGTTTGCCCCTGGAAAAACAGCAAATGAATGTCATCTTCAAGACTTATTAGAAAGCTGGAGGTTAAAAGAAGACCGAGGATGCAGAGAGCGACAGAGTAGGGCAGGATTGGAAGAGTACTTTTAATTGTCGGGTTTTGCGATTTGTGTTTCTGTGCAAAGCTGTGGAGCTTTGAGTATACAGTTTGGGATTTAATGAGTTCGGAAAAAAACATAAATAAATGGAAAGTATTTCACAAAGAGTTTCCATTTCCGGATTGTTAACTGCCCGTGTTATACATGGCTGCTTACAGATTCTCCGACAATGTAAATAATGTCGTTTATGACACAGTTTGCTAGACTCTGAATGAGTGTTGACCTTTGACCCAGTAATGGAGCATCAGTTCACATCGCAGAGCTCATCTTCATCAACCTGTTCGGGAACGAATCAGACGAGACGGCTCTGATGCAGCGAGTGATAGGTGCAGCCAGAACATAAGAAAATCAAATCAAAGCATTTGTGTTTCAAATTCAGTGCAGCTGCATTTCACTGACATCATGCCTCTCCAATTACTGCTAACGAAATAAGAAGGCACTCTGCAGGGCAGGTCTGACAGTGTGAGATCAAAAAGGAAGGGGCAGGGGGGGGAGTTGGGGGGAGTAACAAGATGAGGTGGGGGCACATGGTGGTGGAGTGTTGACGCAGAGGGGAATAGTATTCTATAAACCCAGAGGTAGGAGAAGAGAACTGAAGATAAACTGTAAGGTTCAAGTGTTGCGCTCTCTTCAGTTGTCATTGTATTTGCATGCGATTAAATGACTCTGAGGTAGAGGTCGTACTGCTGCGTTTGAGACACTTGTAAGAAAATATATATACTATATGCATACACTCTATATATATATAATAGTACTGTACACAATATAGTAAAAAATGTTAGAAAAGGCAGTGTTTTTGTGTACAGGTTTTACCATATATAATTTATATAACAAATGTAATATATGACGCTATCTCTCTCTCTCTCCCTCTCTCTCTCTCTATATATATATATACATATATACAGTATATATATAGTAATATTTAGTACGTATTTGTATAAATATTTATACATCCGTGTGTATATATACATATACATAAACACATATAAATATACTTATACATATATATACGTAAATGTATATTTATATGTATATATTATATGTATATTTATGTATCTGTGTGTATGTATATATACAAACAGAAAATTAAATATTTATATATACACACATATAAATATACATATATTACTTATGTATATTTATGTGTGTGTATATAAATATTTATATATATTTGTGTATATATTTATTATTTACAAATAGTTCTGTGTTGTGAGATTGTGCTTGCACAATACTGTGAAAACTTCAATATTTCACAGGAAAACATAAAAACATACTGCACGTAACGATTATTATCACGCTCTATCTGAAGCGGCGTGTGTTTCTGTAACGGCTAAATGCACATTTTCTGCCGCGAATGAAATCTTACTGCCTACACGAGCCGCGGTGACAGCAGCTCGTAGGACTGAATTATTATCCTGCATTCATGTCCGTAGAAGAGGGAAACCGCTAAACATTTTTATTTACTCCTGACAAATGAGATCTGACACAACTGCTATCTGTCATTAAATATTTATCCACAAAGTAATTTGGGAATGGATTTTACAATTAGCTTCAAATGAGCATTAAACAAGACAGGTCACTAAAAACAGGGATGCGCTGAGAATGAGAACGAGGGAACCGACGGTCTCTGAGGTGAGAGCAGCCTGCGTGAATCGGTGTGAAGATGTGAAGAAACAGTTCGGTTTGCATCATGACGCTAATGGTGTTGTTATTGTTGCGCTGCTTTAACACATCCAACCTGTTCAG